CCCGCGTCCCCTGCATCGGCAGGCGGACTCTCAACCACTGCGCCAGCAGGGAAGCCCTCAAATGCAGATTTTGATCCAGGAGTTTGGACTGGGGGGGCCTGAGACTGTATGCTCACACAGCTGGTCCAGAACACACTTTGAGTTGCAGAATTTCTGAAAGGTTGCTCCTCTGGCCAACAGTGTGGGTAATGGATTGAAAGGGTGGAGACTGGAAGGGGAGAGTTGAGAAGCTGATGCAGTATAAGCAGAGGGCCTCATCTCGGGCACTACTGGGAGAATGGAGAGGAGTGGACAGATTTGAGAATGTTCAGCCTTAGGATCAGCAGACACTTGGCGAGTGTGTGCTGAAGGAGAGACTGGTTCCCCCAACCCCTTGTGAGTTACTTCTATGGCCCTGGTTCCTGGAATCCAGAGAGCTGGACCTTATAGCTTTGTAGCCATCTTTCTTAGAGGCCTCTGTAAGATGTGAGTTGTTACAGCTTCCCTGCACGTGCCCAGATCTGGGCACAGTTTGTGTGTGGATCTTTGTGGATGGATAGACACAGGTGTTCCCGAAGCCCAGGTTCGCCTGCTGCTCCAGCCTGCTCAGCACCATCTATCCGACAGTATGCCCAGACCCTGCGTGACGTCAGCCCCGTGTCCCCTCTGGACTTGCCCTGAACTGCCTCTGCCTTCCTGTACAGACCTCCGTGTTTACTCCCGCCTATGGGTCCGTGACCAACGTGAGAGTCAGCAGTACCATGACCACCCTGCAGGTGCTCACCCTGCTGCTAAACAAGTTCCGAGTAAGTCTGGCCACAGACGGCCCTGCCCCAGTTGCTGGTGGTTTGCTGTTTTGTTGGGGGAGGGGGCTGGAGAAAGCCCTGGCTCCTGGCTAGAAGGATGACCAAGGTTTCCTCAGCTGAGCTGGCATCTCTGGGAATTTAAGCAGAGAGAGGGGAGGGTCCCTGGGGATTTGCGTGTGTGGCACTGAGGATGTGGTTACTACCAGGGGTCCCTTTCTGTCTCTCCTGTCTGGAAAAGCCATGGTCTGACTTCCTGTTACTACCTGTGCAGGTGGAAAATGGTCCCAGTGAGTTTGCACTCTACATCGTTCACGAGTCTGGGGGTAAGTGTCTGCCTTTGCTTCCTGATCATAAAAACAAAAGTCCCTGTCCATTTGGCAAGCTCACCAGCTGTGCTCCTTCTCTGAGGGCTGGGCTGGCTTGTGCAGCGGACACGGGGCAGGTGCCCTCCTGGCCTTGGGACAGGCTATGCCCCCACCACAAGCACCCCTCCCAGGCCCAAATCCAGGCACATTGTCATCCCTTTCAGAATCCCACCAAAACCACATGGTAAGCCATCAGCAGGGAGTGGGGAGGAATGTGCATCTGGGTCTTCAAGATGGAACAGAAGCCCCTCGCCCACTGAGAACTGCTGTTGCAGAACTTGTACTGCATGGCCCTGTGTCCAGTGCTGCACAGCGCAGGTCTGATAACTGAGCAGGCCTGGCCTCCCCAGGTCCACTTCCCCATCCCCCGCTCCTTCAGCCACTGTTCCTCTCGGAGCTGGGCCTTCACTGAAGGACATGATCACACGTCATCAGGGCAGTGTCCACCACACAACACCTGGCAGTGTTGCCGGGCCCCCTGGACACCTGTCTTCCATTACGTTCCTGTCCTGGAACAAAGAGACGCAGAGATGCCATGAATTTTGTCCACCGCTTTCTTTTTCAGAGAGGACAAAATTAAAAGACTCTGAGTACCCGCTGATTTCCAGAATCCTGCATGGGCCCTGTGAGAAGATCGCCAGGATATTCCTGATGGAAGCTGACTTGGGCGAGGAAGTCCCCCACGAAGTGAGTGAGGGCTGAGGCTTGGGGAGGCCTGCTCCTGAGTTAGGGGCTGGGGGACAGCATGGCGGACCCCCAAGGGCTCTTAAGGTGACCTTGGGCAGAGCCCTCTTGGGCGATGCTTCCAGGGCCCCCATGGCCGTTCTGAAGGTCCAGTACAGTATTGGTTTCAGCCCTTCCTCCTGTCAGCCACCACCAGATGCATCAGCTGGCTCAGGGGAGACAAGAAGTTGGGTCTTAGAAAACCATGGCCTGGCCTTTCCCCCTCAGACAGATAGAATCTTTTCCTTCATTGGAGCGTGGTTTGTTGTCATGGCATTAAAGACCCACAACAAGGGCTCCTTAACTAGGGCCTAACTAGGGCTTGTGGAAGGCACCCTATGGAGGTCTGTGTCTCAGGACAGCCTGAGTCCTGGCTGGGCAATGGGCACATTTCCAAACTCCCTGCACAGAAAAGGCCTATAGGGTGTGGACCCCAAGGAGAAGGCCCAGTGACCCTGTATCCCTTGAGCCATTCAGACTAGTGTAGTTTCATTCCATTGTTAAAAACAATGGGATTCCCACCGTCTCCACCCCACCCCCAGAGAACACCCAGTGTGACTCCACTCACTATTGAATGCTTTTCCTAAAATTCAGCTTAATCTTTCCTCCCAGGGATCGTAGTTGCCTTTGAGGTAAGAATGGGCTCTATCCTCCCATCCTGGTACACACAGAGCAGTGCTGGGCATGGGAGGAAAACAGGACAGCCTCTTCCTTGGATTTAAGACTGCTGGATCGGCCACTATGGAAGCCACGAGGAAAGGAAAACACACTTTTGGCTTCTAATTTAAAACACATTAAAATGTTCTTGGATTTTCTAGGTCGCTCAGTACATTAAGTTTGAAATGCCGGTGCTGGACAGTTTTGTTGAAAAATTAAAAGAAGAGGAGGAAAGAGAAATAATCAAACTGACCATGAAGTAAGCAGCACTTAAGGAGCCAGTCGTGGGTACTGAACGTCAGGGCAAGTCTGCAGGGCAGAGCACCCAGGCCCGGGGCTGGGAGACCTCTCTCCTCCAGGTGTGCCAGGTGTCCTCACGCAGCTCGGGGACACCTGCTCACCCTGGTTCCCCAGCACCGTCCTCTGACCCCTTGCTCCACACTGACACCAAGCTGGGGTGACAGCCTGCCAAAATAGGGGGATGCAGCCCAGACCACTCATCTAGCCTTGTCAATCTCACCAGCACAGGACAGGCACAAGCTGCTGAAAAATGCCCAGGAGAGTCAGGCAGGAGCACGGGTGGGCCCTGGACCAGGGTTGTGTGTTCTGCTGGTGACACTGCTCTGGAGGAGCAACCGGGAGGGGGCCTGCTTGTGTACCTTCAGCCTCGTCTGGGCCTTTCACGCTAGCCGGAATTCTAGGCCTGTCCCAAAGCAGCAGTTATTGGAACTGCCTGCACCAGCTGATGTTTGCAGGTGCAGGGGACCAGTTCAATGGAAAGGTGAGCAGGTGTTACCTGCTGGCTCCTGGGGAAGCTACATCAGGGCCTGGCTGTGTGAGGTCAGCCATGTTGCACATCCCAATGATCTGTCTCTCCCTCTAAAGGGGAAGCTCGGTCCCAGAGTCCCTCTTAGGAAGGGAAGGAGAGAGGCTGCTGTGAGGGCCCACAGTCAGGGGACTGGTTCCGATTCTGGCATCTGGCTGAATGATTCTTAGAAAGGCTTCTATGTGTGCAGTTAGGCCCCATTCAGGCAGTCAGCAGAGACCTCGATCAGAGGAAACAGTCTACATGCAGTCAGCAGTGTCACCGTGGCTAGAAAGGACTTGAGGGTCACCTGGTCAGCCTGTTCAGTGCACAGAGCGGAAACAGCGGCCTGTGATAAGGAGGCAGCACCACGTGACTGCAGAGCCAGGGCTTGAACGCAGGCTTCCTGATCCCTACTTTGCCACCCTGTATACTCCAGCACACTCCTATCTGTACTGGGGAATCTTTTTTTTTTTTTTTTTTAACATCTTTATTGGAGTATAATTGCTTTACAATGGTGTGTTAGTTTCTGCTTTATAACAAAGTGAATCAGCTACACATATACATATATCCCCATATCTTGTACTAGAGAATCTTTGGAAAAGAAAGATCATTCTGCTTTGAAGCTTGACAGGGTCTGCAGCCCTGTTTGACTGCTCCTCAAAGCCAGTGGTCTTGTGGGATGTGGGCCTGGCTTTTCCCTCTCCTGGCAGAGGAGAGATAGTGGCCACTAATCAGCCGGTCAGGAGCTGTGGGTCTCCGGGCCCAGCATCTATGTGCTCCCTTGCTCGCCCCCTCCCTGTCCCTTCCAGTATCAGTGAGTCCTCTTGGCTGTGTCTCCCTCCAGGTTCCAAGCCCTGCGTCTGACAATGCTACAGCGCCTGGAGCAGCTGGTGGAGGCCAAGTAGCCCACCAGCACCTGCCTCTTCCGAAGCCCCCAGCAGCCAGTGCACTCTGAGTGCTGGTGGCCGGGCCCTGATTGTCACACAGATTGGTCACACTGGCTGAGGAATCCAGCACCCGTGTTTCTACCTGTCCACCTGCCTAGGTAGCATGAGTCCCATGTCCCTGGCTCTTGGCTCCAAGGTGAGCACTAGTGCCCAGACCTAAGCCTGAGGAGCCAGGAACTTGCTGGGTGGGGTCTGCGTGTGAGACTGGCCTGGGCCGTGAGCAGCCCTGAAGCTGTGACATGGGCCACTTATGTAGCTGGATAGCATGGCCAGGCCTGTTCACTCCACATGTCTCCTGCTCAGGAGAGCAGGACATGACCTTGTTTCTAGGGCGTGGGCTCCATCTGCTCTCCCAGTGCCCACCCCAGAACCACAAGCCCTTATCCTCATCAAACACATGAGCCACCAGACCCCCGTCTGCCCTCGTCTCATGCTGCCACTCAGAAACTCCGCTGGGTAGAGCAAGGGCTGCCAGTGGGTATGGGATGTGCGATGCTCCCAGCCATCACTTCAGCATGGCGTCCCTGGCCCTCGAGCCTCTGATGTCACTCCATGAGCCTCACATAGCCCCGTGCCCCAGCAGCAGAGGTCAGACTGGGAGTAAGGCCACCAGCAGCCCATCTTCTCTCTGCAACACTCACTCTGAGCTTCCTCAGCAAGACCTGAAGGGATGGTTACAAGGAGCTCACTGCCAGAAACACGTCAATTTGATCACATTGAGGAGGTGACCCGCGTGGCATTGTAAAGGATGCTGCCAGTGTGCGTGCGGGTCCAGGAGCTGTCCAGGGACTGCCGGCAGTGGCTTGGGAAGGCCGCGCTCTGCCCCGTTGCTGCTCTCCTCGGACACCTGTGTGCCTCCTGCCCTCTCTGGGTGTGCATGCCTCCTCTCTCAATACTTCCCATCAAAGGGCCACCAAGGGGAAAATGTCTGTTCGAGGAGAAAGGGCTTTGCATTCCCTGGGGCCAGATGCAGAACAATTTGGGTTTGTCAGCTGATGGAAAACTTCTGGAATGAACAAGAAGGCATTTGCAAAAATTGTGTAACAGCTTACATTGGTCATGTGAGGTGTTTGTCCAAAACAGAGCAAACTGGAGACCAGATTCTCCCACTGGGGCCCATGGATAGCGGATTTAAAGGGAAAAAGTATAAAGTCTCCCAAATATAGAAATTCAATATGAGGGAGATTCCCTCGGTGCCTTGTGCAGCGCGCATAAAGAACAGAGCCTGGGAGCAGCCGTGCCAATAGAACCCACTGTTCAGGGTGAACTTCACAACAGGATTGCCCCGACCTGGCGCCATCTGCACAGAGGCAGGCACAGAGATGCCCAGGGGAGGTCCGCTGTAGTTTCTGCTGTCTCTGCTCGCCTTTGGCAGCACAGTTTCCTGGCTACTCAATAAAGGTGTGCTGTATTGAACTGAAGGAGTTAGGTCCAAGCTTTTTTTTTTTGCTTGTGTGTGTCCACCCTGACCCTCTGCTCTAACCTCTGACACTCCTGTCCCACAGGACGCGTGGCCAAGTTTGGCAGAAGAGCCAAAGCTGAGCCACAGCCCGCAGCTCATGACACTGACATGACTCCTTCCTTTCCGTGCACATTCTTGGGGCTGGTGTGGGGCCTGAGGACAGAGGCAGCTGCAGGGCCCAGAGGAGGAGTCATTGGTGGGGGTCTGTGGACAGCCTGGACAACAGGCACAAGGGTCACCCCGAATCACAGAGTCCCAGCATCAGGAGGACCTCGGGAATCTTGCAGGGCTGGGGGCGGGGCATGGTGACAGGGTCTAGGAGAGGGTAGAGAACGGCTCAAACAGGGCTCCTCAGTAAAATAGTGAAATAGCTCCCAGACCGTATTTATAAGCTCAGGTCAAGCACAACTGTTGTCCATTGTTCAGCAGTAATTGAGGGACCGCCTTGTGCCAGACCTGTGCTCAGCCCTAGAGGGACAAAGACAGAGCCATGCTGTTCAGGGGTCTCAGACAAGACCTGGGAGAAGCAGGCCACACACCCTGGAAGGTCAGGGGACCAGCAGGGCAGAGAGATGGTGAAGGTCCCCGGAAGGAGGCCCAAGGCTGAGCCCGACTTACCTAAGAGAGTGTGTGTGACATTCTAGCCTGAAGAGGCCTGCCAGCCCTGGAGCAGACAGGGCTTGGCACATGGGAAGCCATCAGATGAAGGAACCCTCTGTAAACATCCCCAGTTTTGCTTTTGGGGTTTTTTGTTTTGTTTTCTTTCAGTTGTTACAATATTACTTCATTTAAGGCCTATCTTGATACGTGTCCCTTGTGAAACAGAATTATCAAAACTAAGTTCTGAATAACATAGCTAAGAAATCACTAAAAAGTTGTACAAAAAGGGGAAAATGTACAGACATACCTCAGAGATGTTGCAGGGTTGGTTCCAGGCCACTGCAATAAAGCAAATATCACAATAAAGTGAGTCACACAAATTGGTTTCCTAGTGCATATAAAAGTTACATTTATGCCCTGCTATAGTCTATTAAGTGTACAATAGCATTATGTCTAAAACAATGTACGTACCTTAATTTTAAAATACCTTATTGCTAAAAACTGCTAACAATCATCTGAGCCAAGTTGTAATCTTTTTGCAATAGTAACATCAAAGATTATTGATCGCAGATCACCATAACAAATATAATAATAATGAAAGGCTTGAAAATTGTGATGTCAACTGAAGAAAAAAAACACAACCTAAAATTCGTGAGTTATGTTTTATTTGGGGACCTTACTGAGAACTATATCCCATGAGACAGCCTGTCAGACAGCTCTGAGGAACTGTTCCAAAGAGGTAAGGGAGGAAACCAAGATACGCAGGAGTTTTTGCTTAAAAAAAAAAAAAAAAAAAAAAGCCAAACATGTAGTTGAACACCAAAACATGACTGCTGATCACAAAAAGAAGTATCAAGTTAATGCTTTTAGTGCCTTTTGGTGTATGGGAAGATGCAAGAGTCTGGGTTCATTAAAATTATTCCTTAGATACGCATCTTAACTATCTAGGGCCAGTATCCTGTTTTTCTCCATCTTAAGCTGCCCTCAGGGTGCACCCCTTGGAGCAGCTGCAGTGGCTGATGTCTTGATAGCACCAACATTTCTTGTTTACTGAAATGGCTGGCTACATTTTTTTTTGTCCACAGTGAGAATTACCAAAATGTGACACAGAGACACAAAGTGCGCAAAGGTTATTGGGAAAATGGCACCAATGGATTTATTCAATGCAGGGTTGCCACAAACTTCTTCAATTAAAACAACAAAAAAAAAATGCAATACCTGTGAAGCACCATAAAGCAAAGCACAATAAAACAAGGTATGCCTGTGCACTTCTGCAATCATCTGAGGCGTTACAAAACTTTTTATCAACACTACTTGCTTTTCAGAGGCAATTTGAAAAGCTGATAATTCAGCTCACCCTGACACCACAATTTCAGACTTTCTCTGTTTGGCTCTGTGGTTTCCTGATGGTTTGTATGGGAGTTCCATGTGCCTCTCTCCACAGAGCTTAGATTATTTGTCATATGTTGCTTAACTCACTGGTATCGCAGGTAGTAAATGTTATCCAAAGATAAAGGGAAGATTCCTGTGATGAGTGTCCTCTCCGAAAACAGGACAGTCTTCCCAGGTCAGGCCTCTGGAACCAGGGAAAATAATGAACACAGGATAAAATCCACATGATTTTGCAAAAGAAGATGTGAACTCAGGAAAAACAGGGTGATTTGCCCAGAGCAAATTACCAGAAGGAATCAAAAAACAGCTTGTTTTTCCCATGGTGATAACCATATGCTACCTGCTTAGAATGTTTACCAGAAAATGGATTAAAGACCTTCCCACTGTTAAAATAAAGCCGTTTGTCCACCCAGGATACATCTGGCCCCTTAGTCCTAGGGAAACAAAGCACAAGGCTTATCCTGTCGGATCAGGTGATCTGTGGAGAAGCTGGCAATACACAATGTGCCCATGTGGGCAGGACACAGGTGCCCTGCAGCTGCAAAGCAGCAGTGGGATATTTTTGTCAGATGCCCTGCTGGGCAGCAGCCTCCCTGCCCCTCAGTCACTCAGCCATGATTGGGCAGGAAAGGCAGTCGGACTCAAGCCTTTCCAAATGTAAAAACAGCAAGTGCAAGTGCTGTATTTAGCCCCCATGAGCCTTGATTGTCTGGGAGAAAGCCAGCTGCTGACCAGCCCTTGGACTCCCAGCATTCGGGTGGGGCTCTGCTCCCTCCTGGCTGGGCTTTTAACAGAGATGTTTTCTGCAAACTCAGGAATGGGAATTCCCAGAGTTTCCTTTCCCAGAGAACCCAAAGGAAACAGAAAGCAAAGTCTCAGGCTTGGTGGACAGAACCCTTGTTCAGGGGCCCTTCATGGGAGATAGACCGCTCCTTACTGCACTTGGCCCTTGGACCACACATGTGACCAGCTTCTTTTGCATTGTTGCCAAATGCAGACCCAAGGCAGCAGTGCTCCCAGTTGAGACAGTGCTTTTTGGTGTGTGTCTCTGTCTGTCTGCAAGGGAGTGGGGTGCAAGGGACAAAGCCATAGTAAAAGGAAGCTGTCTTGCCAAGACTGTTCTCAGCCCAGAAGCCTCTTCTTCCTAGAACGAGCCCTTCAAATACAACTGGGCTCATGGGCACACTGGACCCCACTGCGAGCCGTTTCCCAGAGGAACCCCAGCCATTAAGGGATCTGGCCTCTTTTGACCCAGTTTTCCCAGAAAGATGTTCTATTAGGAGAACACAGCCTATCTTTGCTACCCTGACTGTACCTCCCTCTTTTTCCCTCCCCACTTTCAGCTTTCTGTTTTGTAAATATCAAGTGTGACCAATTTCAATAATTTAATTTGTTTAAAAATAACCTGGAATTCTATTTGAGAGATACTGCTAGGTAGAGGTTAAGAGCATAGGCTCTGGACCCAGACTGCCACTCGTGGCCTTAGGCAAGTTACTTGCCTCCATTTTCTCATCTGTAATATGAGGATTATAACAATTCCTATCTCTTAAGATTGTGAAAGGTATATTAGCTTTGCTGTAGTAACAAATAACAACAAAAATAGTGGCTATAACAAGAGTGTTTACTTCTCTGGCCTGTTACATGTGACTGCAGGTGGCTCCAAGTGGGCTTATGTGGCTCTGCTCCACATGTCTTCTCATCCTGGGCTGAAGGCGCAGCCCCTACGTGGGACATATTATTCTTGAGGCAGAGGGGAAGAACAGAGTGGTGGCAGAAACACAATGACCCAAAGCTTCTTCTGGGATGGGCTATGCTTTGTGTCCACACACATGCAGTTAGCCAATGCTACTCCCACGTAAAGTCAACATCAGTGGGATGGGCTATCGTTCACTAGAAGACAATGAAAGTCACACAGGATTAAGCAGGGATGTTAAATCCAACAAGGGTAGAGCAAATGCTCAGGAGCAGACATACCACAGGAATACTGAATGAGGCACTGCCACTGCTTCAAACAGTGCCTAGAACATAATAAGCACTCAGTAAGTGTTGGCTATTATTATACTAACGAATAAACTGAGGGCATAAAACCCTGCCTGTTTTCTCTCCCTCTTTTTTCCTTTTACCCTTTATTCTTCCTCCCCTCCCCACCCCATAACCTTTTCTATCTCTTGCCCCTCTCCATCCTTACCTCCTACTCTGTCCACTCTTGGCCACCCATAGCCCTGTATTTCCTGACTTTTGTCTCTCTCCTTTTTAAATTTCATCTTTCTTTACCCAATTCCCTACTTCTCTAACCTACACATCTCTGGGCCTCTGTAGCTGGCCCATTTGTTTTTAGGTACAGGCAAAAGGGATAATCCACCTTTATGTGGGACATGAAGTTAGTTTTAACTAATAACTCTCTTACTAATAAAATTTTTTGAATAAATTTTTATTATTTTAATGTACATAGAGCAAACAGTTCCATCAGGTCATTTTTGTTCTTGAAACTTTTCCTAAACTATCTTTGAGCATTGTCCCCTACCCCACCCCCCTCCAGCCACCAGCATCAACCACTTATAACAATTTAATAATAAAATAACAATGCCTCATATTTCTTATGTGTTAGGCATTGTGCTAAGTGCCTTACATTATCTTATTTAATCTTTACAACAGTCCAGCTATCACCTAGGTAACTGAGCTGACATTCCCTGTCTAGGCCTTAGTCAGTTTCACGCTTTGCCATCTGCAGAGCAGAAAGCTCCAGCTTGAGATCTGAATCTCTGATCTAGTCTGGCCTGTGCCATCAACTCACTGTGTACTCCAGGCAAGTTTCCCTCTCAGCTTTATTTTACTGCTCTTTAAGACGGATACGAGGATCCCTGCTTCGCAAGGCTATAAAGATGAATGACCAGAGAATAGATGTAAAAGCACTTTGTAAAGAAGCATCTTATTAATTCATTCATTCAACAAATACTTGCTGAGTGCCTGCTACCTTCTGAGCACTGTTCTTAGCACTACAGATATAACAGAGAACAAGAGACAGATCATGACAGCTTTGTGTGCCACTGTGAGGCCATGAGCTTTTGCTCTAATAACATGGGAAGCCTTTGGAGGATTTTGAACAAAATGAATGACCTGATCTGACTTGGGTTTTAAGAAGATCACTCTGGGGCTGTGAGCAGACATAGGGAGACCAGTGAGGAAACCAATGCAATAATCCAGACAGGAGATAACAGCAGCTTGGTGGAGCTTATAGCAGTGGAGGTGTTGATAGTGGCTCAATTCTGGATATATTTTGAAGATCGAGCCAACAGAATTATAGATGGCTTGGATCTGGGTTTGGGGTGAAAAAAGAAACGACAGTGACATCAAGATTTTTGACCTGAGCAATTGGCAGGTTGGAATTGCCAACTGTCGGGATGAAGACTGATGAAGGAACAGGTTAGGTGAATATCAGAAGTTCATCTGGGGGTATGCTAGGTTCGGGATGTCCATCACACATGGAAATGGCATTGAGTAATTAACTGGATATGTAAGTCTAGAGTTCAGTAATATTTGCATCCCAAGGTTGGACTGGAGTTACCAGTTAGGGAGTCTTCAGCGACTACAGACGGTATCTGAAGCCATTTGACTGAAGGAGTTCTGCAGGCAAACGAGGGCCCGGAGAGAAGAGAGGAGATGGGGTGACCCAGCACAGGTTAGGTTGGCAGAGGAGGAGGTTGGCTGTAAGAAATGAGAGCCAGGAGAGATCATTACTAAAGAGAAAAAAGGGGGTGTGTTGAAAATCACGAGACTTTGGAGCCATTCCAGTCCTTGGCCATCCACTTATACAGTGAACTCGAGCAAACTTCTACTCTAAGCCTTGGTTTCCTTACCTGTAAAATGAGTATGATCGTTCCCATTTTGTAAGGGCTTTTTGGTATAATCAAATAAGTTGACTCATGAAAAATATCGGGAACAGTTTAGGCTCTCCAAAAGTACCTCTATATAATTAATAATTAAACAATATTTGTAGAAAGAATGAAGTCTCGGGGTGGGATAGGCTGGTGTTGTCCTTCAAAAGCCGTGACACGCAGGCTGCAGCTCGTCGGCCCTGTGGGTGGCTCCTCCATCTCAAAGGTCTTGTGGTCCTGGGGGCCACAGGACGCCTTCCAGGGGTAGGAGAGGAAAACAAAACGACAGGAAGAAACGAAAAGTTGCTTTTTTCCGCTGGGCCCGTGAGCATAGAGGGTCACTCCGCCAGGATCCTAGAGCGACCGCGCGGCGCAGGCGAACGGCTCGGCCTGCACTTCCGGCGGCGCGAAGGGCGCGGGGCGAGCGAGCGAGGGCGGCGGCGGGCTGGCGCGGTGAGTGGGCCGGGGCCTCAGGAGCACAAGCTGGCCGCAGTGGGGAGGTGCCGACAGGGCAACGGGTTGCCGGGCGCGGCTTCGGTCCTCAACTCCCGGCTGCCGCGAGGGCTCTGCCGTGGCTGGCGCCGGGGGCGGAGGGAGCGGGGCGGGCCCGGCCTGCGAGGAGCGGCAGCCAGAGGCCTCGGGAGAGCAGAGACCTTAACGGAAGCCCGGGCGAGTTGAGGCCAGAGGAGGACAGGCCCGGGATCGTGATCCGCATTCCTTACGCCCTCCATCAGTCGCGTGTCAGGATAAAACAGATTGAACCAAGCGCTTGGGTACCACAGGCCTGTTCTGAGCGACTTACAGACTCATTTAAACTTCTAACATCATGATAATGTAGTGGCCTTACTGTCATCCCCATTTTATGGACGAGAAAGCAGGCACATTCCAGTGAGGCATATTCGCATGGCCAACAGCTCCGTTCACTCAAGTTTCCCTTAATACCGCACCTGCTGTGAAAGGAGGCTGAGCACCAGTCGGAGCGCTGGACTTGGCGTTGGAAGTTGGGGCTGCAGTCAGTTCTGTCACTAAGACAACAGGCTCTGGGGTCAGGTTACTAGGGGGTGGGAACCTGGCCGAAGTATACCTGCCTTTCCTTAGAAATGGAAGAAAAATGAAGATAATCCCATAAACCTGCTCTGAGAATTAAATAAAATAGCACAGTGACTGGCACCCAGGCTGCCTGTTGGTAGGATTTCCTCATCTGTAGTGTTCTAGGTGGTTTAGATAGTCTCTGAGTTTCCTACTAGAACTGACTTCTGTAGTGTTGAAAAATAAATGTGGGGTGTTTTTCAGCGTATAATTACCATTATAGCTATTTTTGAACACCAACATCATGTACCTGACATACCTCCTTGTAATAGATGTTCTATAAATATTTACTAAAGTTAAGAAATGAGTAGTGCTCTCTCTGTAGTTTTGTGTTGTATGCAGTTTGCTTTTTCTGATACTTACCTTAATTGCAGCAGATATACTTAAATACACGAAGTCTCAGCACTGTCAGGCCTGGAGTCTCAATTATACAATAAGATGATGGAAAGGCAAGAACAATGATGTCATTTTTGTTTTCAGTTATTTGCTTTGTAAGCTTGTGTGCAGAGACCCAGGGTAATTATTCCCATTTTAAAGTCTACTTGCTGACAATAAGATGTGGAAATTAGTTCCAATAATTGTATTACCTTTGCAGTCCTAGGTTTTCCCACATTGTCACCTATTTGGACTTTGTGCTTCTTTGGTTGTGGCCATTATTTTAAGTAACCTTATAAGTAATTAAATGAAATTAATTTATTTGAAATTTTGTAGCATGTGGGTATTTTTAAAATTCCATCCTATTTTTACATGTAAACTTACTTTCTTCTCCTCCTCTTCTTGTGTTTTACCTACCACCTTTTATTCTGTTTCATTACACTATCAAGTAAAAGTTCTTTTGAAGTTTTTCTTTCTCAAAAAAAAATTCCTCGTTTCAAGTTTTCAAAGAATTGCCCTCTTTCTTGGATCATTGGAATCTAGAGGAAATAATTATGAAATATCTCTTCATTGACATTTTCCTCATCCAGTATTTATTGAATAGATTCACAGAAATTTTCCACTCCTTATAGAGTAGTTCTTACATTCAAAACAACTTATGCTACAAAGTTAGAACTCAGTTGTTCTCTAAAGCTGTGCAAGTAGAACGGCTAAACAAACAAGGATAAACAGGAATATTTAACAAAGTAGTATGATTTGTCATTTCTTTCTAATTTGGACACCTTAATGAGTCACCCATGAGTGTAAGTTTAACGTGGGAGTAAATATTAAAATATAATGATAATCTATTACCCAAATTTTGATTGTCTTTTGGAGTTCTTTTATTCCCACTGAGACATTACATTGTCCCCACTTTTTAATCTCATTTGTTATTGTCCAATAAAAATTTAGATTTCATATTATCACTTTTTCTTCTTTTTTTTTTTTGTCCTGTCCCAACAGACAAAAACTCCAAAGGTAAACTTGGTTATATTTATTATGTTTGGGCTCTGGAATTATTAGAATTATCTTGCGAGTATTTTTTGCCAGAACTGTCTTTGTTTTTATTATTATTTTTATTTATTTATTTTTCTTTTTTTTTTTGCGGTACGTGGGCCTCTCACTGTTGTGGCCTCTCCCGTTGCGGAGCACAGGCTCCGGACGCCCAGGCTCTGCGGCCATGGCTCACGGGCCCAGCCGCCCCGCGGCATGTGGGATCTTCCCGGACCGGGGCACGAACCCGCGTCCCCTGCATCGGCAGGCGGACTCTCAACCACTGCGCCACCAGGGAAGCCCGTCTTTGTTTTTATATATATTGAATACATTAAAAAAAATTTTTTATTGGAGTATAGTTGCTTTACAATGTTGTGTTAGTTTCTACTGTACAGCAAATACATATATACATATGTATATATACATATACAGCAAATATATATATATACATATATCCCCTCTTTTTTGGATTTCCTTCCCATTTAGATCACCACAGACACTGAGTAGAGTTCCTTGTGCTATACAGTAGTTTCTCATTAGTTATGTATTTTATATATAGTATCAGTAGTGTATATATGTCAATCCCAATCTCCCAATTCATCCCACCCGCCCCCTTTCCCCCTTGTATTCATGTTTGTTCTCTCTCTATGTCTGTGTCTTTCTGCTTTGTAAATAAGATCATCTAAACCAATATTTTCAGATTCCATATATATGCCTTAATATACGATATTTAATTTAAAAATGGATGCAGTTTTGATGGGCTGAAGAGATATTAAAGTTGAATAATTAACAAATCATCTATAATTTGTTTTTTATTTTTTTCTTCTACACATAGAAAATTCTGAGCTGTGTAGCTCTAGGAAGTGAAATATTCATTCAGAAGAAGAGTGTAGACTCTTAAGAATACATTTGGCTCTTCACCATGCGGTTAGGAAAACCTAAGGGAGGTATATCTCGGAGCTCGAGCCAAGGAAAAGTCTATGAGAACCAGCGCAAAACAGGCCGGCAGCGGCAGAGATGGGGAATGACTGTTCGCTTTGAATCAAGCTTGAGTAGACTGAGAAGAAGCTTGGATGAGAAGCCTTATAAATGTGTCGAATGTGAAAAGAGTTTCAGTCAGAGCTCAACTCTTTTTCAACACCAGAAGATCCATACTGGAAAGAAATCCCATAAATGTGCTGATTGTGGAAAAAGTTTCTTTCAGAGTTCTAATCTCATTCAGCATCGACGGATCCATACTGGGGAAAAGCCCTACAAATGTGATGAGTGTGGAGAAAGGTTTAAACAGAGCTCAAATCTCATTCAGCACCAGAGAATTCATACTGGAGAAAAACCCTATCAGTGTGATGAATGTGGCCGATGTTTCAGCCAGAGTTCCCACCTCATTCAACATCAGAGAACCCACACAGGGGAGAAACCCTACCAGTGCAGTGAATGTGGCAAGTGCTTCAGCCAGAGCTCTCATCTTAGGCAGCACATGAAGGTGCACAAAGAAGAGAAGCCTCGTAAAACCCGGGGCAAAAATATTAGGGCAAAAACTCACTTAGTATCATCTTGGAAAGCTGGTAAAGGAAGGAAGTCAGTGGCTGGTCTCCGCTAAGTAAAGGGCACTGCATCAGCCCTCTTTTAAAAATAAAAAGCATTTCTTTTAGAACTGGAGATATTTTTTAATAGTGCACTTAAATACGGTATCCTTTCCTAGCATGGACACATTGGGAGTTTAATGACATTGGGCTGAGAGAACTTACATTGAGTCCAGCCTTCCTTATTTTTTATGTAACTTGGAGTACAAAGAATTGAAAATGTGTTTTGAGAGAATATAAGCTTGATCTCATTCGAAATTGCTTCTTGCATCATTTTGACAAAACAGTCATGTTTTGTTTTTTTTTTTAACAGTCATGTTTTGATGACACGTGTAGAAGTGTAGTTCCAATGACTACTCAGTTTCAGGAATTTCTGTGGAAGGAATACTTAAAAGGGAGAAGAAATTAATTCCATTAGTTTTGGAGTTCTGTAGTAGATGAGATTTTATGTTTGTAAAGTTTTGTAGTGTATTAGCCATTGGTTTGTAAGTATGACTCAACATATTAAAATGAATTCATGTTCACAAATTTTTAATCAACGAGGTGCATCACTCTATGTTAGCTTTCCTTTGTTTCTTTCCTGCTGCTTATGGATAATTAATTAAAGGAGTCGAATTTCCCTGTTTTTCACTAAATTCTTAGTAAGTGATACTCTAGAAGCCAAAGAGAGAACTGAATTAGACCGCAGGTCTCCTATTCCTGCTAATACTATCCTTTGTGATGGTGTTACGCCATGTCACTTGTTTTCCAGAAATTAGAATGGATTTATGTTAGTCCATCCCCATGGCTTTGACTTCTCTTGGCATTCTCTTGTGCTCTGGCAAACTGAACTAGCCTTTTAGATCTATGAATAAATAATTAAACCAAAATGATTTTTCCAAAACCATCTCAACTTGCAAATTAAAAATCTACAATTTACTTGCCTCCCTGCCTTCCCCTTTGAGAGCTTCATATAACCTTGATAATCTTAAATGTTTGCCTGTAGCAAAGTGAGGTTTTAAAAAGTCAAGTGTTGGTGCATTGTAGCTCCTTTGAAATCTAAGTTTAACTTTTTCTGAGTCATATGAATTATTTACAAAACCAAACAAATTTATTATCTTTCATCAGAACAATGCCGAGTACCAAACATTTTGATTAGCCTTCAGCTTAGGTTTTAATTTCTATTGAATGCTAACATTCTTCTGATTTTTTTTGTATCTTTCAAATCAAAACAGTTCCTGCTGTACTCATAATGACAGTTGTCCATAAAATTTTTTTTTAAATGGAGTATTTTGGATACTACTACCTTCTGTTTATTTTTCTCTTGGGAAATTGTTTTGATGTAGTAGGCAACATCTAAAATCACAGCCTTTGGAAGAATCACTTATTTTGTCTGTCTTTGATTGTCTCAAACTTGAACTTTGCCTCCCTCATGGCCTTGTATTTGAGTGCAGAGTCATAGAAGATGGCTTTGTTGACAGCATTTCATCCAATAGGATATCCACAAAGTGTTTTGTGAGTACAGGCATGCCTTGGAGTACCACAATAAAGCAAATATCGTGAGGAAGTGAGTCACTTGAATTTTCTGATTTCCCAGTACATATAGAAGTTATGTTTACACTGTACTGTAGTCTATTAACTGCAATAGCATTATGTCTAAAAAAAAATGTAAT